ACAGTGACAGTGCTGGGGAAAGGAGAGCATGTGTGAGTTTTCTTCTGTTTTCTAGGTTTCAATGATCTGCTCTTAATGTACGATTAGAATGTGAACACAAAAAGAGGTACATACTTGGTAGAAATACATGTACCCATTCTTTCGTGACAATTGGGATGGAGCCCACTCTAGGTTATTAGTTCTGCAGTCCTAGAAGTCCATGTGTCCTCTTGTCCACAAAGCCATGGAGGCTAACAAAAGTTCCACTGCACAAAGCTGATGCATCTTTAACATTTCTGAGTGGTGTCAGTCACCCCTAGTGGTGCCAGTACCCCCCATATAGATGTGAAATATTCACCAGGGCTTAAACCATTCACATCATTTAAAACACTTCCCAGAGAAGCAACCTCAACAACAGCAGCAATAGGAGATACTTAAGTATATGACACACAATAGGTGCTCAACAAACATTAAACACATGAATGGCTGGCTGATTGCTGGTCTTGTCTCCTGCCTGTCCCTGCTGCTATGTTATTCCCAGAATGACCACCCAGGGGCAGTGCTGCTCCATGCTAAGCAGAGCTGGGCAGAGAACGTTTCTGTGGCACTAAATGCCCAATTCCCCTTTTCTTTTCAGGCAGAGAAATCCAGGATCCACAGAAAGGCTTTAAAAGAGATAGCTAGAGTCACCTTATTTTCCCTGATGGAGTGGGGGAAATGTACTTTGGCCACAGGAAAGATGCAGCCCTCCCCTTTGGAGGAAGCAAACGGGAGCAAGGTGTACCAAGGGAGGATTATACATCCAGGAGGCTAGGCTAGACCAGAGGCTCCCAGGATGGGCACTGCCCATAGGGGTTTGAAACAGAGCTCTCCAGGGTAATTCATGGAAGCGGTGTGGGGAGATGGGATAGTGTGATCAAGGGGGGCACCCAGACCAGGATCACATCTTGGCTGAGCCTCTGGCAAGTCACATAACTTCCCTGCTTCCTTTTCTTGCCTGTGAGATGGAAATAGAAACTTGGAGGAGTTTTGAGGGATTTAGGTTTGATAATGTACATGAAGAATTGAGCTCAATGCCTAGCAGAGTCCCTGGGGAGGTGTTGGTTACTATCATTACTGCTGTTGTTGCTGCTGTAATCCCTGTAGTGTCGTTAATTACACCTAGAAATCCTGGGGAAGACTCTTGCCTGCTATGGACAGGCTAAATCTATGACTAGATCATGGACTTATGGAATAGAAAGAGCAAAGGGTGGGTTTAAGAGGTAAGAATTTGAGCTACATTTTAGGTTGTTTTTTTTTTTTTTTAATAAAAGGACATACGTTTGAGGGGGGAATCAAAGATCATTTTAAAATCTCTATACAGAGGGAAGAGACTGCTGAATTTCTTTAGCTTCCTGCCCAGCTAAATCTTTCATATCAAGTTTTCAGTGAAGACCTTCAAGGCTTGAGACCAGGCGTTCACAGCACCCTGCACTACTTTTGCTTTATGCCCTCTGCTTCTTAAAACACACATCACAGTCAGAATTTAAATGATTATTTTATTGACCTTTCACCCCCTTAGGTGATAAGGTCCTTGAGGCTGGTTTACCCTGTCTTTCTGAAAATCCCTAGCATATGCTCGGCACTAACAATTCTGCTCCTGCCTGGCACCTGCACTCTCTACCACTTCTTATGGGGCACCGCAGTCCCTGGGGACAGCCCATATGGCTGTCCCATGTGCCCCAGGTACCACCACCTCCTGAGGCAGCCAGCATGCTGAAGGAGTCATTCTGCTGGAGCTATCCCTGGCCTGCTGAGAGGAGACACCCTCTGCCCCTTGGTGCCTAGACCTCAGGAGGGTGTCAGAGCAGGGCTGCGTATGTACCAACTTCTCCCTGGGATTTCAGTCCAACAGCCCTTCAGTTCTCTGTGGGGCTCACAAGAGCTACCTACTGGGCCTAGGCTACAGGCACTGAGACTGCTGGATCATCTGTGTAGGGTAAAGAAAATATCAGGCTTTTCTGCCCTTCCGCCATCAGGATAAATGATGGATCCTTGTCCTGAATGCATGCCTGATGGTGGGCACCTGGAATAGGGTGTGGGCATGGGTAGATGGGATTCGCCTGCGCTAAGACTGTGCTTTTAAGGGCGGCGTCACGGGGACGCCAGGAGCAGTAGAAGCAGCAGCAGCAGCAGTAGAAGCCGAAGCAGAAGCCGAAAGAGAAGCCGAGAAGCAGCAGAACGAACACTAGAGAGCCCAGATAGAGTGAAGACTTGTTGGGGGCTGGGAGGCCTGCCAGCCTCCCAGCCCCCCAGCCAGCACCCCTGCCTGCCATATGCCTGGTGAACCCCAATAAAAGACCTGCAAAAACCCACTAAGGACTCTGACTCCCCCTTTACCCGGTCTGCATGGGATCAGAAAACCTGCACTGTATTCAGTCCTGCCCTTTACAATCTGCCACCCCCAAGTCTCCCCCACCACCCCTCTATCCTCAGGGGCTCCTCAGTTCCTACCAAACAGGTTTCCCTGAAGCACCTACAAAGTTCAACAGGTGCCAAGTATTTCTGATCATCAGCTTACGCCCAGGAAGGGTCTTTCCTCCAAACTGCTTTACTCACTTTTTTCCCAGCACAAAATACACAGAACTTTGTTATAAAGAAGAGATTGGAATCTGTTCAGGGGTGAATGTGTTCTTTGCCTCATTCTGCTACTAAATCCTACAATAATTCCTTGATAATAACCTTTTTCACTAGTGATTAATGTATTAGAATATCTTAACCATAAAACTATAAGAAAGTGCCATTTCTCCATGTTACAGATGAGATAACTGAGGATGAGGGAGGGTACATAATTCTCCAAAGGTCTTTTTTTTCATTGTTATTAATGTTTATTATGTTTGGCACAGTGGTGTATTTCATAGATTTTTAAGGATGAAAAAATGGTTACACTATAAATTCAAAGAACTTGCAGACTGTAGGGTAAAGAAAATATCAGGCTTTTCTGCCCTTCCACCATCAGGATAGATGATGGATCCTTGTCCTGAATGCATGCCTGATGGCGGGCACCTGGAATAGGGTGTGGGCATAGGTAGATGGGATTCAGCTGAGCTAAGACTGCTTTTAAGGGCGGCGTCTCGGGGACGCCAGGAGCAGCAGCAGAAGCCGAAGCCGAAGCAGAAGCCGAAAGAGAAGCCCAGAAGCAGCAGAACGAACGCCAGAGAGAGCCCAGATAGAGTAAAGACTTGCTGGGGGCTGGGAGGCCTGCCAGCCTCCCAGCCCCCCAGCCAGCACCCCAGCCTGCCATATGCCTGGTGAACCCCAATAAAAGACCTGCAAAAAACCACTGAGGACTCTGACTCCTCCTTTACCCGGTCTGCATGGGATCAGAAAACCTGTACTGTGCCCAGTTCGGTCCTTTACACAGACACAATAAATGAAACTAAAGTTTATATCAGTTGTTATGAAAGCATTATGCTGTCTCAATATTTTAATTTATTTTATTTTACTTTATTTACCAATAAGCAAAACGGAGTCACATACAAGCCTGTCTCCCCCAAACACATTTCCCCCTTTGGGGTCAGAAGCAGTAAACTAACGGGGGTGAGACACTCCCTTCCCACATTAGCAGAAAAAAACTGGCGGCGATTAAGAATCAGCTCGACCCTCCAAGCTTCCCGCGCAGGGTTCCCAGTCTCCAGCCCCGCCCAAGCCCCGCCCACAACTAGGCGGGGCACGCTCCGCGGGTGGAACGTGGGGGCGGAGCCCCTGCGCGCTGGTCACGCCCCTCTTAGGGCCACGCCCCTCTGCGTCCCGTGACCCCTGGCCCCGCCCCGCCCCTCCGCCATTTCCTGTCCATCCCCAGGCGCGTCAGGTCAGTGCGGCGGGGTGGCCCGCGGTCGGCCCTGGGCTCGGGCCTTATCTGGCCGTCATAGCCGAGCGGAGTGCGACGATTTAGCCGCAGCAGATGGAGTGTCTCAAGCTGCGAGCTCGGTAGCGGCGCGGAGGCCACTCGGCGCTGTGGCGCGGTTGCCGGGCAACGGGCCGTCGCCGGGCAACGGGCCGTCGACCCGCCCCCTCGCAGGCGGAGCGTCGGCAGCGGGCGCGCCGCTGGGCTGGGGCGCAGGTCCCGTCGCGCCGCGGGCGCTTGTTGGCTGGAAGCGGAGGCCGGACGCCCCCGTCTGCGCCCTGCCCTGGCCTCCTGGTCCTTTAGACCCACCCCTGCCCTGGAAGTAGAGGGGTTGGAGCCTTCTTTCTGCGTGGGCAAGTCAACTCACTTCCCTGGGGCTCAGAACGCGGGTGAATAGTTAAGTGAGCCCCACATTCTCTGCCCCTCCCCCACCCCGGTGTAGGTCAAGGTGCCTCTTCCACTGCCTCTTCCACTACCCCAGGCGTCCTGGAGCCCCGGGATCGCCCTCACCTCTGGTGCTACCGGTTTGTATCCCGTTCCTTTGAGTGAGTGGGATTCTGAGGCTCAACACGTGTGTAACTTTGTGTATATGTACCAGATCTTCTTGATGCAGTTACCTATTTGGGGGTATTTGGGTTGTTTCCATAGCTGAGCTATTGTAAATAGGGGTGCAGGTACCCTTTGAATTAATGATTCTGTGTCCTTTGGGTAAATACTTAGGCGTGGAATTGCTGGATCATATGGAAGCTCCATCTTTAGCAGGTTGAAGAATCTCCACACAGCTCTCCATAGTGGTGGGACCAGTTTGCACTCCCACCAACAGTGCAGGAGAGTTCCTTTTTCTCCACATCCTCACCAACATTTGTGGTAGCTAGTTTTTTTTTTTAATATGTGCCATTTTCACTGGTGTAAGGTGGTATCTCATTGTAGTTTTGATTTGCATTTCTCTGATTGCAAGTCACGGTGGAATATTACTCAGCAGTCAAAAAAGATAAATTCATGCAATTTGCAGCAACATGGATACAGATGGAAGGGATCATGCTCAGCGAAATTAGCCAGAAAGAAAAAAAAAATACCGGGGAGGGGAGGAGGGATTAGGGTCAAAATAAGGAGGGTGGGAATTGTGTGGGGAATATAAGCAAGGTGAAAATGCATACATTGTGCAAAAATGAAAAGTGATGTAAAAATATATAAAATTTAAAAATTAAAAAAAAGTTCACACAGCTTGAAATTGAGGCATCTCAGAGAGATCAGGTAGCTCACAGATTCCAAACTCCCAGTTACAGGTGTTACCAGACTACCATTAAATTAGGTGCAGATCAGAATCACCTGGAGAGTGCTTACAACTAGGCCTTCCTGGGTACTCAGCTTGCTGAACAGGAAGTTTGCACGAGGCCAAGGAATGTGTGTACGGTTTTCAGCAAGTTTTTGGATCAGTTTTACCGTCTGTGGGTGAAGTTTTGGGAACCACTGGATACACCGTTTGTCATTTTCACTCGCAGTCAACTAAGGTAATAAAAGAAATCTGGAAAAAAGAGACTGGTGCGTCTGCCGTCAGGTTGTAATCCTTCAGCCAGTTTTTAGCTTCTCTTCACTCAGAAATAACCACAGGCTTGTATTTTAAATAAGTTTGAGCAATTCAATGCAAAGTGTCCTGGTTACCTGTCACAGCCTTCTGCCTGGGCCTGCCTGTCATGATCAAAGTCAAGTGTTAGCATTCTCTTTCCCTGGCTGCAGCCTCCTGGTCTCCTTCAACCCAGATCCCTGAACCACAGCACTTAATGTTGGCTTTTGAGGAACATTTTGCAGAGTGGTTTCCCCAGTGGAGAGAAGGCTGGCAGCTTTCCAGAAGTATCCCAGCAAATAATGAGTGTCCCTTGGCCTTCACAGCAGTTGGAGTGAAATAGATCACCCTGCTGTTATTCATGACATTTATAAACACAAATCTGTCTTAAAAATAATGACTTGGCTCTTCGTTTTAGAAGGCTAATAAGACTGACAATTTCTGTTTGTTTTATTCTTATTAATTTTCCTCATTTGTACTGCCTCCCTCAGGGATTCTGGCTCACAATGGCCAATGATCAAGAGAAAGACTTGCAGAAATTTCTTAAAAATGTGGATGAAATCAGTAAGTACCATTTTAAACAAATTAAATTCTATGGAGAGGTGTAGTGACTAAAGAGAAATTATTAAGCTAAGTTCCTAGGTTGCCTGACAGGTTTATAACTCATAAGAAAAAAATGTAAGTGAAATTTAACAGAAAGGTATTGAGAAGCAATAATATTAGTGCCTGGGGTAGTATTTTCTGCCTGTTAATTGGTACCAGAAGCAGTTAACATCCATACTGACTGCTCTCTGTATTTTCTTCCTTTCCATGTCAAATCAAGTCAAAACAGCTATTATTTCCCTATTGCCAGTGAGCTTTACTGTTCCTTTTGAAGTGATCACTCCCTGGGTCCATCTGGACTCCCTTGTTTTTGGGTACAGCCATTTTTGGTTTAAAATTGCAGAGGGAAAATCAAATGGCTTTCCCTCAGGATCCACCAGCTTACATGGATGCCTCATGTTGCCATACCCCTCTCTCTTCCTCTAAATAAGAAGATCCCTTCTCAGCTCAGATAGGCTGGAGCTTAGAGAACATACTCTGATCCCACAGATCATATAAGGAGATTCCAAAGGAGTCAGTCCCTACTCAGACTTCGGGGAGCTTATTTGAGCATAGAAAAAAGCAAACCAATAAACAAACCTTACATAGCAAACAAATGTGTTGAAATTGCAGCTTCCAGCTGACTGTGGTTCCAAAGAATACGATGGTTTAAATAATAGTTTGGGTAACTTCATAAATGATACCTCCATAGTGTGTTCTTTGTGTTTGTCATGGAGCTCTCTGCTGCCCACTTCTAATTGCTCACCTTGGCCCACTGCTCACCTTTCTCTTCTGGTGACCTATTGCAAGCACGTGATTTTAACTACCACCTGTTTGCTGCTAACTCCAGGTCTAAATTGCCACCCAGTCTCTAGACCACTGTATCCCACGAACACCACAAACTTAATGCATCCAAAATTGAGTTAGCCATCTCTTTCTTCCTCTGTCTTCCTCCTCTCAAATGAAACCTGCTTCTCTTACCTTCCCTTCATCATAGTGTCAGTTGGTGGCACAAACATCCAGAATTTATAAGTCACATTGGACACCTGCAGTCTCTCAGCCCTGTGTTGAATCAGCCATTCAGTTTGACTTCTTTGTCCAGCTCTAGCCTCTCTGACCCTCCCCTTTGTTCTGTGTCTTCTTACCCAGACTATTTCAACAACCCCTGATTGTTTTTCCTGCCTCTAAGCTTATACTCCCCACAGAGTAATGTATCTAAAATGCAAATCTGACCCAGACACTTCTCTGCTTGGATTCTCTCTGTAGTCACAATAAATTTCAAGCTCTCATCAGGACTTAAGTCCTCCCACGACCTTGTCTTACCTCTGGCCTCTCCCTGCCTCTCGCAAGGAGCAGCAACAAACTGCTTCTAATTCCCCACACATACCCTGACAGTTCCCAGTCTGTATGTTGCCTTCCCATCCCCTCTGCTTCCCTGTCTTTCTTTACCTGACTAACTTTCACTCATACTCAAAATTGATGCACGTATTATTTATACCAGTACTGTCCAATAGAACCTTCTGTGATGATGGAAATGTTCTGTAATCTGCACTAACCACTGTAGTCACCAGTAGTCACATGTGGCTATTGAGCATTTGAAATGTGGTTAGTGATCCTGAGGAACTGAATCTAAATTTATTCATTTATAATTATATATGGCCACATATGTATAGATTCTACACATTCCTTAACTCTTGCTATGTTTTAAGTATTGTTAGGCACTGGAGAATACGTAACAACAAACAAGAATTACCTTCTTCATGATAGTTGGAGTCCCATGGAAAAAATAGATACTGAACAAGTAATTTCAAGTGTGATGCTTGATTTAAAGAGAGACTTGCAAAATGTAAGAGAATCTAACCCAGTTTAGAGAGTTGAATTCATCTCTTTGGGCTGCCATAACCTGCCTATCGGCAGGTTTGGGCTCTCTGAGTCCTTGCTCCTGAATTTGTGGACAACCACTTTCTCTGAGTGTCCTCAGCTGGTCATATTCCTAATGTCACTTCCTCCTCTTATAAGGTACCCAGTTGTTTTGGACAAGGCATCACCCTATTACCTCATTTCTCTTTGATTATCGCTTTCAGTGCCTTACATCCAAATACTGTCACATTGGAGTGACGGCTTCAACATATGAAGCCTGTAACAAGCCAAATGAGCCTTCCCTGAAAAAGCGAGATTTAAACAAAATTCCGCAGTGTGAGTAGGAGTTGGCTGTTGAGGAGAGGGCAGGGCAGTGTTTGCAGTTGGAAGAAGAGGTAATGAAGAGAGAGTGAGGTGCCTTTGAGAGACTCGGGATAAAAAGCCCCTTATGGCTAGGGAGGTAGATTAAGGAAAGTTCCCATCTGAATATAAAAATATCTGCTCAAGGAGGCCCTCATAGCAATGATAAGAATGAAGAGAACCCTTTGAAGGGCTTACTCAGTATTAGAGGAGGTACCATGTTCTCTGCCCCCACTTATGTGAAATAGCCTTAGATTATGGGTGCTATGGGCGGAGTTGATAGGAATATAACACAGAAGGCAGGTGGGCTAAGGGAGAGCTTCCCTGCGACATGACTTGCACCTGGTACTGCTGGGAAGACGACATGGAAGGAGACAAGTGAAAGACAAACAGGTAGGCTGATGATGGCAGCCATTATCTTGATGTGGATCTCTGGAGACTTGCTTTAGAACCGCTTTCCTCTAGTTCCCCCCAAGGAGGTACCTTGGACTTGTGGCAAACCTTCAGACCTCATGTCCTTTCTTCTGGCCGATCCTGTTTGGCTGGGTATTTCCCACGTGGGGATGGGTAATTTGTGGTGTTTTATTGTGAAAACCTTACTAGGAGCTTTATTCTCTCTGCACGCTAATTCTGTTAAAGATAAGGATGCTGCCTTTGTCTTTCTGCAGCGGATGGCAGAACCCCTTTGTAGACCATGCAAGTTTGGAGTCCCTGGGTGTCCCTCAGTTGCAAGCTAACAGATTTTCTCCATTGCTTCTGTGTGTCTGCTATTGAGGCTCTTGTTTACATTTTTTTTAATCAGCTCTAGTGTTTTTTTAAATTTCTTTTTTTTTTTTTAAGGATTTATTTATTTATTTATTTATACAAGCACTGGGTACAGTCAGAAGCGCGGGAGGGTAAGAGAATTCATCAGAGCCAGAGGGGAGAGCAGAGCAGGCAGACTGACAAGAAGTACAATGCTGAGGGGGGCAGCGGGCGGCAGGAGAGGTCTGCGCTCCGTGTGGGACCCTCCCCTGCAACAGGGGATCTAACCAGCGCTGCAGAGGCTAAGGGCAGCTTCGCAACCCAGCACTCAACTGCTGCGCCACCGGGGAGGCCCAGCTCTAGTGTTTCTTAACTCCATTATTTCTGAATGTAGCTGCCTTATATTTTCATTTTATTCTTTTGTTTTATATCCTTCGTTGTTTTTTTTAAAATTCCATCAGCATTACCAGAACTCTTGCCCTCAGTTCCCTTTTTGTCACTCCAGAGTCCAGGCTCCTTTCAGGCTTTTGTTCTGACATTTTTACTGTGTTTTTCTGTGTCCTTATTTTCAATTTTGTGTGGGTTTTAGTAAGAATAGATTTTCAAGTGTTGTTTTCGCAGCTGTGGTGTCCTGGGGGTACTGGTGACTGGTACAGGGAGGGGTAGTAGGTATCAAAGAGGGCAGGGCAATAAGCATCAAAGGATCTCCTCCAGTTGACTCAGAAATTTGAACTTCCTGTTGTGAAGCTTGTCCTGGGGTGGGGGGGCGGGAGTGACAGGTGTTTCTCAGCTTGGACTTCAGTAGTAATCTCCTTAATAAGGAAACTGACCAGATTCTGGGTACAGCTGTTCTGTGTTGTGAGCCTTGGCTTCAAACCAGCAATCCTGTCTCCCCACCTCTGCAATTCACCTGCAATGCACAGCTCTGTCCTGGGCCTTCCGGAGCACCCACTTATCCAGTGCGGTGCCTGGTTGTAGGAACCCCCATGTTGGAGTGTACCAGAGTCAGTAGCCGTAGAGAGCTATACACTTCAATTAGCTGGCTCCTCCCTCTTGTGGGTTATATTGTCCCATTATCATGACAAACAAAGGTCACTTAAAGTTTTTCCTACTTTAAGTGGAAAAAACTATCAAGTTGATGCTCCTGTTGTGTGTGCTGATAATCAGTTCCCCACCCAACCCCTCCAAGGTTTTGGCTTTATTTTGTTGTGTCTTGAAGTGAGCCCAGTGTCTACACTTGCAGCCATCTTGTTGGACTCTCCAAAGACTTTAATTTAAAAGGAAAAATTCATCAGAACGACCCAATTTTTAAATTGGCAAACTTCTAATATATAACTTTTAAAATCCATAACGTATAAAAAATAAAATCTAAGAGCAAAACTTGACAGAATTAGAAGAAGGAAAGTATAAATTTACCATCATAGCAAGATTAAAATACTAAGCAACCAAAGGACAATCAAATTTTAGGAGATTGAAACCACACAGTAACAAATACTATTATTGGATAAATAGCCCTCCATCCAACAATTTCCCCTTTCAGGAACCATGGAGCATTCACAAAATGTGTGAACTTAGCCATAAAACAACACAAACCAAAAATCCTGTATCTTGGAGACTGTATTCTCTGACCATGAAATAATTTAGCAGTTAGAAAAAGATAAGCCACTTTCCTCTCTAGTAAGCATTATCAGAATAAAATTTACAGTTCTTCTAGGGGAAAAAAAAAAAACCACCAGTTCTTCCTTATGCTGTGTATCTCTTAACTACACTCACACAGAACACTTCTGACACAATTCTGATTGCCACAGGTGTAGAGATTTTCCCCATACAAGGTAACTCTATACAATATCAGCTGAGTGTCCTACAGTTTTTTTCTGGTATTGTTTACTTGTATGCCTGCACTATCATGGAGTTTTTAGGACAGGTGATGAAACTTGAATGAGCACCGAGGATGAGTTAGGTATTAGCATGGAACTCCCTGACTTAGAGGAAAAACAAGGATGTAACAGAGGAAAACAAGGATGTCCTTATTAGTAGGAAATGCTCACAAAAATATTAGGTGGTATTGGCATCTTACCCTCAAATAATTCAGGGACAAAAGATCATCTGATTTATACATTAAACTTTTCTGTAAATTTGAAGTTATAAAAAACAAAGACTCTCTAGACCCATACTGTTTTATAGTTGAGTCCCTCTGAATAGTCAGAAAACAGATAATTTCCATATTACACAAACTTTTCCAAAGAGTATAAAACAGAATACTTCCCAATCATTTTATAAAGCTAGGTACCTTAACACTGAAAAATAAAAAAATGCAGGGCAATATTTATGAATATAGTTAAGAATTTTAAATATCAGGTCAGAAAACTAAATCTAGTGATGAATTAAAACACAATTTATCATGGCCAAGTTAGTCTGCCTGAAGAATGCAAAGTTAACACTAGAAAATTTATAACTATAATTTTTATTTTAAAAGAGAAAAGCCAGATAAGTAACAACAGATATGAGTATTAACAATAGAATGTTTGATAAAATTGAAGCCCTTTCATGATAAAGTTCTTAACTTATCTAGGAATGGAAATTTACAGAGTACTGTAAATTTAACTTACAGAGTACTGACTAAGCTTCCTTTGCAAACATCTCACTTGAGGTGAGCCAGAAGCATTCTATTAAAAGTTGGGAGTATTATCATTCCCAATATTATATTATCAAAGATATTATCATTGCTTTTATTTAACATTTTAGTGGATGTACTAGAAATAAGACAGGAAAATAAAAAGTAAAAAGAATTGAGAGGTTGAAACTCATTCATTGACAATGTGAGAATCGACAGAGAAAACCTAAAAATTAATTATTAAAGTAAAAAAAGGAAATTCAGTAAGGTTGGGATACAAGATTAATATATAACATTCGGTTGCATTCTTGTATGTATAGTATATACCTTCAACAATTAAAAGAGGTAATTTTAAGAAAGACTTCATTTACAATACCAAAATAAATCCATCAAAATATATGCAAGCTCTTAATGGAGAAAATTCTAAAATTTAATTGAAAAAAAACCCAGTGATCAAAGATGAAACATTTTGAACAATAAAATAAACAGCATAGTATTGGATCATAATCCAAAATATAAAATATCCATACGGACATAAATAATGATGATTAAATACTTACAGGCATACACACATACATGCATACTTAGGGGAGATCTCCCACACGGAAGATTTCTAATTGATTTATGTAGATACTCCCTCTCTAGAAGGGGGACCATAGCTCTCCACCCCATAAGTGTGAAATACATTTAGGATCTTGCTTCCAAAGAGTACAGTATAGGAAGTGACTTTTCCAGTGAAAAAACCTGACAATGATTATGGTTAAGATACTAAACCATCTACGTAGCATGTACCCTTGACAGGATGTATTGTGGTCTTCCTCCCCAAATCCTATAACTAGATATGAGAAAAACAGAAACTCAAGGTGAAGTACACTTCTAAAAAAAAGAAGAAAAAGAATAGAGTTAAATGCAGGACACTCAGCTCGTATCAGACACTTGTTTGGTGGCGTGGGAAAGCAACGCATATTGGAGTTGGTGTCAGAATCATACTGGGACAACATACAGGGTTACTGAGCATCATTGATGGTGAAGTTGAGTCAGAACCAGGTCCCCCAAGCATCATTTGTCTTTATCAGTACTCAACCTCCTTATTCAAGGCCTAGAAAAGAGCAGTGTTGGGTTTTTGTGTGAAAGTTAGAAGGGGAAGGGAGTTCATTCAGCATGGGAGTGGGATGGTGGCCAAGTAATGGGCTGTGAGGTCTCAACTGGGCAATAAAGTGAAGACCAGGACAGGGTTAAGGGCTGTTTTGTGATCTCAGATTGACCCATTACCAGTTTGTCTCTCTCGAAAGATTGTAAGCTCCTCACAAGGTTATTTTTTATTCAGTATTGTTATCTCTTGAATTCCATGTAATTACTTATAGTAAGCTTTCCATAATTTGTTGTTAAATAATGGTCTAAAATTCTCTTCCTTGAAGCACATCAGTAAAATTTTAGGTGAAGCATTTACAAAACAAATTCTGTTCTTAATTTGTTCTCATTGATTCTCATTGCTTTACATTCTAAAAATGGGAAGATGTTGGTCAAAAGCTGCGAACTCCCAGTTAGAACATGAATATATTTGGGGGAACTCATGTGCTAGATGTTGGCTGCAGTTAATGCTACCTTATATACTTAAAAGTTGCTGAGGGAATAGGTCTTAAATTTTCTTGTCACAAAAGGTAAAAGGAAATAGATGTGTTGCCTAGTGTATTGTGAGGGTCACGTGGCAGTTTATACATACATGAGATCATCCCGTAGTACACTCTAAGTTTACACAATGCTGATTGTGTCTCAACAAAGCTGGAAAAATAAAAGTTCTTCACCGTGGGTTTTCAACACCATCTTTTCACGTGAGTGGAGGAGTGTTTCCTTTGAAGACCTTGCTGGAATGATTGACATCTGATTTCTCCTCTAGCCAGTTTGATCCAGGAGATGAATTCTGATGACCCAGTTGTCCAGCAGAAAGCTATCTTTGAGACAGAAAAGAGATTGCAATTTGCAGAGGATGTCCAAGAGGAAGACGGCTGCAGGACCACTTTGAACAAGACCATGATCAGTCCTCCACAAGCTTCTGTGAAGGTTTCCCTTTTCTTATGTTGAAGTTACATGAGTCGCTACAGTGAGGAGGTCTGTGTTAAAGCAGGGGGAGTAGTAGTTTAATCTCAGATTGGCTGATGAGGGTGAAATTGACATTGGTTTCTGAAATTCACTAGGTTTATTTTCTGTAAGGAATTATGAAGTGATACTTTTCTTGGTCTTTCTGGGTCATCTTTAAACCAATCTTTAGATTTGTTTTGATGAAAATTTGGCCTCTCCATTCCCTCAGCTTGTGACCATATTTAAGCTCTACTGCTAATGAAATATATTTACTCATTTCCAACTCCTGCCGCAGTGGGGTCTCCTGAGCTGCTCTGTCACTGCAGACTTAGCCCCATAACTGGTACTCATACTCAGATCTCCTGATTTAAAGTAAGTCCCCTGAATTTGGGGCCCTCCAGTGTTAAGGAAATGACTCTGTTCCCCATTTATAGTTGATCCACCTTGTTGGTTTATAGACATGAATCAGAGAGTAATTTTTGAAATAAATTTTTTGTTGTTTTTATGTAACCTGTGCCCAGAAGAATGCAGATGAAATAAATTCAGGTAAGGAGAGCATCTCTCTTCCCAATGTGTATTATTTATTTAAAATCAGTGTTTATTGATTGCAACTGCCAGACCCTTATAGTCTATGGATTACAAACAATCTATGAACAAAAAACATGCTGACCACCCATTCTCTTCCCAGTATTCAAAGGAGATAGCATTCAGGGGTTTTTCTCTGTTTTCTTCTGGCCAAACTTCTGTTAACTCAGTTCACTTATTCTGTATCATCCAATTTACTCTCAAGGTAGTCAGATAGTTTCTCTGTTGCTCAGCTCAGAAGCTCATTATACTAAATGGAACAAAAAAAATCTGTCTTTAAAGAAAAACTCTTTTTGAAAGGCATAATTCAGATTTGAAGCACAGAGACATAGCCATCACATATAATGATAAATCACACGGATTACCATTTAACATCAAATTAAGAAAATGTCATTGTAGTGCAGTTGCTTTCGTGTGTCTGTGTGTGTACATGCTTGCATGTGCATACATGAGAAGTATGGCTTTAAAGTAGCTTTCTTCTGAACTTGAGCTAAAGAACTGATTATAGTGTTTTGGATTTTTCTTTTTCATATTTGAAATTACTCTGCTGTCAGAGACCTTCTTGGCATCTGTGGAGAAGGATGCAAAGGAACGTGCCAAGAGAAGAAGGGAAAACAAAATCTTAGCAGATGGTAATTGTCAGTCTTCACTTTTCCATAATAATGGGATGATTTGTGGTAGAAAGAACACTTGTGTCTTTATGTTGAAGTCTGAGATGATCATAATCAGCGGGCTCGTGATGGGTCTCTAGCGATGGGACCTGGCCAGGGTGAAACCAAGGTGATCTATCTACTGTTCTATGCACCCCTGCAGAGAGTAGGACATGGTCTGCAGTCAGCCTCCAGTTAGGTTGCTTTGTAAAGCACATGGGTGGATTGAGCAGATCGGATTGAGCAGTATTAAAGCTTGGAAAGTAGGGAAAGATGAGAGGTACCAGTGGCTGGCCTGAGGCATAAGTGAAGGGGTGCAGGAAAAAAAAATGTGAGAAAGGAGGAGGGAAATAAATGCAGCAGGGTTGTGTGTGTGATGGGAGATACACATGACAGAAGCCTTCCAGCTTTCCATGGGTGTATAGTGCAGAGCTAGTTGGTTTCATGTTTGCTACAAATTGAGTTGTTTGACCCTCTTTATGAGACATTGAATGTGTAGACTTGGTCTTTGTGGCAATCTTACAGTGGTTCTAGATCTTGAGGCAGAAACATTTACTGTTTCTGAGAAGCTACTTAGAAGACTTTGGATGGATTTGGTGGGGGAAAAAAGCCCTTAAGCCAATCCTGAAATTTCTGCAGAGGAAAACAAATGACAGAATCAAACAAATTTTGGGTCAAAGGAAGCTAGGACCTTCAAAGTAGAGTTAGAAAAATCAGAGAATAGTGTCTAAAAGAGTCTTTCACTGTGTAGGGAGAACTCACCTGTATGACTTTTATTATCGTAGCTCTAAAGGAAAAGGGGAATGACGCATTTGTCAAAGGTGATTATGAAGCAGCTATCCGGTGCTACAGTGAAGGATTGGAGAAGCTGAAGGACATGAAAGTGCTATATACCAACCGAGCCCAGGTCAGTGATCCCAAAATGTGTCCCTGGAATTCTCTCAGAGAATAGTGGCCACTAAACTTGTGAAATCAGGGCCTCCCCTGGTGGCGCAGGTGGTTGAGCGCAGCACTGTGAAGCTGTCCACAGCCTCTGTAGCACTGGTTTGATCCTGGTCTGCCGGCGAGGGTCCCACATGGTGAGCAGACCTCTCCTGTCTCGCCCGCTGCTCCCCTCAGCAGTGTATTTCAGTCAGTCTACCTGTTCTGTTCCCCACTTTGTCTGGTGAATCCTCTCACCCTCCCACACATCTGGCCTGTACCCCGGTTCTTGTATAAATAAATAAATCTTTTAAAATAAATAAACTTGTGAAATCATAGAAAGATGAGACTACATGGTACCAGTGTTGTGCTGGTAAATGTTTAGCAGCTGGCTGTGTTCAGGATGCAGGGGTAGTTGTTTGTACAGAGTATCTGCCAGTTTCCATGGTTTAAAAACTGTGGTCCAGCTTCAAGCTACTAACTTGAAACTGCTGGAGGAGGACTTGGGAAGAGCTACACTGAATCAGTTTTCTCCATAATGTAAATCAGCTCCAGCACATCAGTCATAGTGACCAGGCACTATTCTGTGTGTTTTAGAAAGAAATTAATGGAATGAAAGGACCTATGAGGGCATGGAATTCTGCCACCACTGGATTTTTCCAACCTCCTTTGTTGATGGTGGTCTAAACTTCTAAATGTTCCTCTCCTGTGAATTTCCTACTCCTTCTCTCAATTCCTCGTTTATTAAAATTATGTGACTGGGATAGACTGTGGATGGACTATGGGTGGGCCAAGAGCCAATTTCTCAGACATTGAGTCCCTAAAATCCCTTATACTATAATTTTATGTCACAGATCAGTTCGTTTTCCTGGAATGCCAGGTAAAACCATGGCCCAGTGTGTGTTAACTACTCGTTAATGAAGGGAGAATGTTGATGGTTCCCAGATGAAACAAAAATGTCACCTGTGACCTTATCCTTGAAAAGTACCTTTGCTTAGGCTTGAAAACCTGATAGATTCATGGACATGATTATCTGATGGTATGAATATGTCAGCAGGACCTGTGTGAGATGAACTTGATGTGGTGTCATCTGCAGGAGGGAGAGGATGCAGCAAAACCCTCATCAGCTCCAATTTCTGTAACTCACGATTAAGAATGTCCTGCTGTGGACTGCTGAGCACGAGTGCTGAAAGCCAGAACCAGGACATTAGGAGACTGAAAATTCTGGGGAGTGATGGTGATATAATGATAAATAACGGCAAGCACAGTCTAACCTCATTAGTTCAGTTGTTGGGATCAGTCAAGACTGGAGTTGCAGTGTCATTTACCTAGCCCCATTTGTGGAGAAAAATCATTATGCAGAAGAGAATTGATCAATAAAATGGTCAGAGGTGCATTTAGCAGTGTACATTTGATCACCCTAACTTTTTGAGGGCAGAAACTGCCATGTACCTTTTGCTTTAATGCTTCATTTCTATCAAATGTTCGCCTCTAAGCAACACTGGAGACGCCATAAGTCTGTTTAAGGGACTTAAGTTTCTGTTGCTACTTCAAAAGAAACATTAATGCAAACAGTGTAGTAACTATACTTTTTATTTGTCACCAAATATAGTCTTCAAAAACATCTACCTCCTGGTTTTTTTTTTTTTTTTTTTCAGTTTGGTTACTCTGAAATTGTTTGAAAGCCATGAAATTGAATTGCCTTTAAAATGTTATGTAATTCAGACTTATATTCAATGTAGACAGTCTGTACCCTGATTCCTCTCAGTTAGTTACATTTTTACCATAGCAAAGTTTAAGCAGCACTTCGACTACTTCAGGAAAATTACATTAAGAATGACTATGAATAAATATAAGTACATACAATGAAATACTTTGAGGAAGCATTTCTCCCAGCTTTCCCAAAGAGAAAGCTTACAGAGACAAATAAATACAAAATGTGCTGCCTGGTGTTACGAATCATTTGAACCACTAACTTATGTTTAAAATGCCTCCCCTGTTTGCATGCAGTGTTACAAAACACTTAATAAGGACCCTGTGAATTGAGTGTTGCTGCTTGCTAGAAAGAAAACCTACCCTTTCATCGCTTTGTTTTTCTCCTGGAGCTAATGTTATGATCAATAGATTGCTGGTGTAATTTAGATAAATCAGCAGTTTAATTGCCATTTGGAAAAAAGTAGTTCTTTTTTAAAATGTGGAAAAGCAGAAGGGAACCAGGAAGTTATAGGATATTGAATCTAAGGCTTAAAGAAAAGGTAAAAGGTTATGTAGGGACCTTCTTGGGACCCAGACAGACTCTATTAGAGTTTCTGTGTATTCTGAATAACAGTGTCTTGAAATCGTGTTACCTAGGAGGGGCTTGGTTCTTCCTCACATCCTCTGACTTTGCAGTGAAACCCCAAACCCTGAAGGAAAGGATGGTACTTTATAGAACAGACAGATCAAAGAGTCGTAGTCTTCAATTAGTACAGAGCCCTATTTAATGAAAGGCATATGAGGCACACTGTAGAAAGTCACTAACCAACTGTTGCTTCTCCCTCCTTACTTTGGTTAAATGCTTAGATTCCCTGTGAATTATAATACCCCATCATTGGCTTGTCTATGTAAAAATCTCATCAGATTTGTTGTTAAGAATGTCACAGTGGGGGCCTCCCCGGTGGTGCAGTGGGTTGGGTGGCACAGTGGGTTGAGCGCCGTGCTGTGAAGCTGTCCGCAGCCTCTGCAGCATGGGTTCAATTCCCGGCCGGCCAGGGAGCAACCCACATGGTGCAGCAGACCTCTCCTGTCATGCCTGCTGCTCCCCTCAGCAGTGTACTTCTGTCAGTCTGCCTGTCCTGGTCCCCACTCTGGCGAATCCTCTCACCTTCCCGTGCCTCTGGCCTGTACCCCAGCTATTGTATAAATAAAAAATAAACCTATAAAAATAAATAAATAAATGAAAACCTTAAAAAAAATGTCACAGTGCTTTGCACAGTTTTGATTGGGGGCAGACCTCCTTGTGGTTATTGTGATTATTGGCTCTAGTCTTGGTGTCTGATGGGACCCTGACTTTGTTGTCTCACAACAGATTGAGCATTGTAGCTTTTTGGGGAATTTTCCAGAAGAAGAGTGCTTAAAGTCTATTTGTATTTATACAAATTGAGAAGAATTTATTGACCACTTTTTGTGACCAATAATTAACACAGAGGACACAGTAGCCTTTGTATTTGCTATTACATTGTTTTTCATTTGTTTAAATGCCTCGTTACAGTTCTTTGAAACTATAAATGAACTAAATTTTTTAGTCAGTTTATTTTGAGTGGATCACAGAACTCTGAATCAGTTCTTGATCTTTAAGATTTACTCCAATTCTAGGAGATTCCAAAGAGTGCCCCAAGGCATGTGACACTGAGGCTTCATGGTGGGTCTGGTTCTTAAATATCAGCCATTTGCTGTGTTGTTTCCTCCTGACTGCACTTATGAGAAAAGAAGCCGGAGTTTTTATTTATCATTTTTTGGTCACAGCTTATTGAGAAAATGGAGATAATACACAACTCACCCATTTAGAGTGTACAGTTCATGGTTTTAGCACTTTCACAGAGTTGTGCAATTGTCACCATAACCAATTTTTTTTAAAGATTTATTTTTATTTATACAAGAGCTGGGGTACAGGCCAGAGTCGCAGGAGGGTGAGAGGATTCACCAGAGACAGAGTGGGGAGCAGAGCAGGCAGACGGACCAAAGGCACTGCTGAGGGGAGCAGCGGGCAACACAGGAGAGGTCTGCCTCACTATGTGGGACTCTCCCTGGCTGGCCGGGAATCAAACCAGCACTGCGGAGGCTGCGGACAGCTTCACAGCATGATGCTCAACCTGCTGTGCCACCAGGGAGGCCCATAACCAATTTTAGAACTTTCACCAGCCCATCAGAAACCCCATGCCCTTTAAGCAGTCACCCCTAACCCTTCCATCCTCTCTCACCCCCAGCCCTAGCAACCACTGATGTACCTTATGCCTTTATACATCTGCTTTTTCTGGACATTCCAAATGAATAAGACCATACAAAGTTGTCCTTTTGTGATTGACTCATTTAACACAGTGTTTTCAAAGTTCATCCATGTATTAGCACTTCATTCCTTGTTATGGTTTATTTGTCTTTTCATTGGTTGAAGACATTTAAATTGTTTCCACTTTTTTATCACAGTGACTAATGCTGCTATGAGCATTTGTGCAAGGTTTGAATTGCTGGGTCATATGGTGACTCTGTTTAACCTTTCGAGGAATCTGCCAGAATGTTTTCCAAGTTGGCATCATTCCCACGATCAATGTATGAGGGTTCTAGTTGTTGTACATGTTCACCAACACTTGTTACTGTTTGTCTCTTTGAGTCCCTTTAGCATTTGGTTTAACTCTGGAACAATAATAGCAGGGTAAACTCTAGAACCCTTGAAGAGGGGTGAGTGTTGTAGGGGTATTTTCTTTTCCCCTCCAGGTCCTTTTCTGCCCTATGTCTTCTGTGGGTTCCTCATTTCACTTCCCCACTTTCTAGCTTCCATTTGGATTTAACCAATGGAATCAGAAGGAAGAAAGTAAGATTAGTTTATTTATTTTCCCAGACTTGGTTCTACTAAAGACCATAGCTCCCATTATACAGTGATTTTTGTGAAGCTGTCCTCTCCCATTTTGTTCATCGCCTCCCATGCACCTTAGGTTCCAACAGTGATAATAGCTACCCTCTGTTGCTCGCCCTGGGGTTCTGTAATATCTCTTACTGGTTTCCCTCAGCTCTGCTCTCCTTACCTTGTAAGTAGTCCCATCATAAAATCTCCTCAGTCTGTTTTCTGCTGGCTGATCTAGGTGGGGACCAGTGGGGATCAGCCACCATTCAGCTTTTCTGCTGCTCTTTTCTGTGTAAAGACTGCTGGCTGCAGAGTTGTGACTATCAGCTCTCTGTCATTACAGGCTTACATAAAAGTTGGGGACTACCAGAAGGCACTGGTGGATTGCGACTGGGCTTTGAAGGTAAGCAGGTATTTCCCATTCCACTTGACGGAGTTATGTTTGTTTGTTGGACCAGATGTCTGAATGTGAGGTGACCAGAAGAGAACCCAGTGTATCCTGGTAGGAAAGGACCAGGCTTTGCTGAACCTCCCTCCATTTTCCTCATCTATAAAATGTAAGAGAATTGTGAGGGCTTAGAAAATGCACATAAGGTACCAAGCTTCTATTAAATACTCCAGAGAAGCTGCTGTTAATTTTGATTTTTAATGTTTGTTTTGTTTTTTATTTTTTGCAATATCTCATCCTTTGTTCTTATGTTACTCTTCTCCTTGTGTTCTATGCTTTGCTTCATGTGAGAGTCGTAATGCCTCCTCTTTCTAGAGTCAACCATGGGAGCCTATTTCTATTTTTTTTTTCCATTTTATTTTTTCTTTATTTTTTTTATTTATAATAAATTTTATTTTTATATTCCCCATACAATTGCAACCCCCCCATTCTGACCCCAATCCCTCCCCTCCCACCCCCCACCCCCAAAAAGTGTCTCTGGTTCATAGATTTTTGTTTATTTTGATTTTCACTTTCTTATAGTTATTCATTTTCCTGGTCCCTTATTTAAGTTTTCTAGATTCCTGCTATGAGTGAGACCATCCGGTATTTTTCTTTTTCTTTTTGGCTTATTTCACTGAGCATGATCCCTTCCAGTGCCATCCATGTTGCTGCAAATTGCATGTGTTTATCTTTTTTTGAATGCTGAGTAATATTCCATGGTATATATGTACCACATCTTCTTGATCCAGTCATCTATTTTTGGGCATTTGGGCTGTTTCCAAAGCTTAGCTATTGTAAACAGTGCTGCTATAAACATAGGGGTGCAGGTGCTCTTTGGAATTGATGTTTCTGTGTCCTTTGGGTAAATACCTAGGAGTGGAATTGCTGGATCATATGGAAGCTCTATGTTTAGTAGGTCCAGAAGTCTCCACACATCTCTCCATAGTGGTTGGACCAGTTTGCACTCCCACCAACAGTGCAGGAGAGTTCCTTTTTCTCTACAACCTCGCCAACATTTGTTGTTGCTAGTTTTTTTAATATGTGCCATTCTCACTGGTGTGAGATGGTATCTCATGGTAGTTTTGATTTGCATTTCCCTGATTACAAGTGATGTTGAACATTTTTTCATATGCCTGTTGGCCATTTGCATTTCCTCTTCAGAGAAGTTTCTTTTTAGCTCTTCTGCCCATTTTTTGACTGGGTTATTTTCTTTGTTGTTGTTCTCATCAGCTCTTTGCAGATTTTTGTGATCAGTCCTTTATCATTAGTGTTGGGTGCAAAAATGTTCTCCCAGTTGGTGGGGTTTCTCTTTGTTTTTGTTATTGTCTCTTTTGCTGTGCAGAAGCTCTTTAATTTGATGTAGTCCCAGCTGTTGATCTTTGCCTTCACTATCACTGCTTTGGGTGATGTGTCTGTAAAGATGTCTTTGATGTGCAAATCACGTAGTGTTTTGCCTATATTTCCTTCTATATATTTTATGGTTTCAGGTCTTATGTCTAGTTCTTTAATCCATTTTGAGTTGATTTTTGTGTATGGTGTGAGGTAGTGGTCAAGCTTCATTCTTTTGCATGTAGCAACCCAGTTTTCCCAGCACCATTTATTGAACAGACTTTCTTTGCTCCAATGCATAGTCTTTGCTTCTTTGTCAAAGATTAGTTGACCATAAATCTGTGGGTTTATTTCTGGATTTTCTATTCGATTCCATTGGTCTGTATGTCTGTTCTTGTTCCAATACCATGCTCTTTTGATGATTATGGCTTTGTAGTATAGCCTGAAATCTGGGAGTGTGATGCCTCCATTCCCTTCTTTCTTTTTCAGGAGAGTTTTGGCAGTTCGGGGTTTTTTGTGATTCCATATGAATTTCATCAATAATTGTTCTATTTCTTTGAAGAATGACATTGAAATTTTGATTGGAATAGCATTGAATCTGTATATTGGTTTTAGTAGGATGGCCATTTTAATAATGTTTATTCTTCCAATCCATGAGCAGGGGATGTCTTTCCATTTCTTTGTGTCTTCTTCTATTTCTTTTAACAGTGTTTTATAGTTTTCTTTGCATAGGTCCTTTACCTCTTTTGTTAGATTTATTCCCAAATATTTGATTTTTTTTTTGTTTCAATAATAAAAGGGATGGTTTTTTTGATTTCTTCTTCTTCAGATTTATTGTTTGTGTATAGGAAGGCTACTGACTTTTGTGTGTTGATTTTGTATCCTGCCACTTTACTGAACTGATTGAGGAGTTGAATTAGTTTTTCTGTGGAGTTTTTGGGGTTCTCTATGTATATTATCATATCATCTGCAAATAGTGATAGTTTGACTTCTTCTTTTCCTATTTGGATTCCTTGGATGTCTTTCTCTTGTCTTATTGCTCTGGCTAGGACTTCCAGTATTATATTGAAAAGCAGTGGTGAGAGTGGGCATCCTTGTCTTGTTCCAGATCTTAATGGAATTGCTTTCAGCTTTTCACCATTGAGAATGATACTGGCTGTTGGCTTCTCATAGATGGCCTTTATGATGTTGAGGTATGTTCCTTGTATCCCAAGAATTTCAAGGGCTTTTATCATGAATGGGTGTTGCACTTTGTCGAAAGCTTTCTCAGCATCTATTGATATTATCATATGGTTTTTATATTTCTTTTTGTTGATGTGTTGGATAACGTTGATTGATTTTCGGATGTTAAACCATCCTTGTGTCCCTGGAATGAATCCTACTTGGTCGTGGTGAATTATCTTATGGATACATTGTTGGAATCTGATAGCTAAAATTTTGTTGAGGATTTTTGCATCAGCGTTCATTAGGGAGATTGGCCTGTAGTTTTCCTTTTTTGTGTTGTCCTTATTCGGTTTTGGTATTAGTGTAATGTTGGCTTCATAGAACGTGTTTGGTATTGTCTCTTCCTTCTCAATTTTTTGGAAGAGTTTGTGAAGGATAGGCACCAATTCATCTCTGAATGTTTGGTAGAATTCGTTTGTAAATCCATCAGGTCCTGGGCTTTTGTTTTTGGGGAGGTTTTTGATTACCATTTCAATTTCGCTGCTTGTAATTGGTCTGTTTAGGTGTTCTATTTCTTCTTTATCTAGCTTTGGGTGATTGTAGAGTTGTAGGAATTTGTCCATCTCCTCTAGATTGTTGAACTTGTTTCCATACAACTCTTCATAGTAGTTACTGATTATTCTTTTTATTTCTGCTGTGTCCGTTGTGATTTCTCCTCTTTCATTTCTGATCCTGTTTATTTGTGCTTTCTCCCTTTTTTCCTTTGTGAGCCTGGCTAGGGGTTTGTCTATTTTATTGATTTTTTCGAAGAACCAGCTCTTGGTTTCATTAATCTTTTGGATTGTTTTTTTAGTTTCAATTTCATTTATTTCTGCTTTGGTTTTTATTATTTATTTTCTCCTACTGGTTTTGGGGTTTTTTTGTTGTTCTTTTTCTAGATCTTTGAGCTTCGAGATTAGGTTGTTTCTTTCAGTTCTTTCTTGTTTCTTGATGTGAGCTTCTATTGCTATATATTTTCCTCTTATTACTGTTTTTGCTGCGTCCCATACATTTAGGATATTGGTGTCCTCCTTGTCATTCAATTCAAAGAATTTTTTAATTTCCTCTTTGATCTCCTCATTAGTCCAGTGGTCTTCCAGTAGTGTGGTTTTTAGTCTCCATGAGGTAGGAAAGTTCCTTGCCTTCTTTTTATGGTTTATTTCTAGCTTGATGCCTTCATGGTCAGAAAAGATGGTTGGTATGATTTCAATCTTGGTGTATCTGTTGATGTTTGTCTTGTGCCCCAGTATGTGATCGATCCTGGAGAATGATCCGTGTGCGCTTGAGAAAAATGTGTACTCCATTTTTGGGGGGTTTAGTGTTCTATAGATGTCTGTTAAGCCCAAATGCTCTAGGTCCTTATTTAGAGCTTTAGTTTCTTTACTTATTTTTTGTCTTGTTGATCTATCCATTGTTGATAGTGGTGTGTTGAAGTCTCCCACTACATATGTGTTTTCTCTGATGTCTGTTTTCAGAGAGGACAACAGTTGTCTGATATATTTTGGTGCTCCTTCGTTTGGTGAGTATATGTTAATTAGTGTTATTTTCTTGAAGTATTGTCCCTTTGATCATAATGTAGTGACCATTGGGATCCCTTTTTATTTTTTTGAGTTTGAAATCTGTTTTATCTGATAAAAGTATAGCTGTTCCTGCTTTCTTTTTTGGTCCATTTGCTTGTAGGATTGTTTTCCATCCTTTAACTTTGAGCCTATTTTTATCTTTTGTAGCTAAATGTGTTTCCTGGAGACAGCAAAAGGTTGGGTTTCGTTTCTTAATCCAGGCTGCAACTCTGTATCTTTTTATTGAAGAGTTTAGTCCATTTACATTTAGGGTTAATATTGATATGTTAGCATTTATATTTGCCATTGTGTTTGTCTTTCCTTTGATTTTATTTATTCTTTTAATATCTTTTTTTTTCCTTGCCTTCTTTCGTTCTTATTCGTCCCTCTGAGGTTCTGGCTTTAGGATTCCTTGTATTTTTTGGAGTGGGGGTTTATTGGTAATGAAGTTCCATAGTTTCTGTTTGTCTGGGAAGGTCCTTATTCTTTCTTCATAGAGGAAGGAAAGCTTTGCGGGATAGAGTATTCTTGGTTGACATCTGTTTTCTTGGAGTCTGTTGACTATGTCCTTCCACTCTCTCCTTGCCCGTAGTGTTTCTTCAGAGAAGTCTGATGTCAGCCTGATTGGTTTTCCTTTGAATGTTATTTGTTTCTTCCCTCTTGTCAGCTTCATTATTTTTTCCTTGTCCTGGATTCTTGGGAGCTTCACTATTATGTGTCTTGCTGTATTTTTCCTTTCGTCATGGAAGTTTGGTGTTCTTCTTGCTTCTTGTATATCAATTTTCAGCTGCTTCTTCACATTTGGGAAGTTCTCTTCAATTATCTCCTGGAATATTTTCTCTGTTCCTACATCTCTCTCCTCTCCTTCTGGTATTCCTATAA